GATATATCAACTTCCATATTACCAATTAAATTAAAAAAATAAAATAAAATAAAAAATGGCCACCATATCAGCTTGCACCTCAACTACATTGCTTCCACGTGCCGCCGCCTTCGTGCCCAAGGCATCCGACGTGCGCCCCTCCGCAGTTCATGGTAAGGATTTGTGGATCGTTTGTTCTTTCTTCTTTTCTTCTTTCTCTAATTTAGAGTTTTAAACAAGTCGAGTCGAGTTCAAGTTGCTCGGACTCGAGCTCAGGCTCGAGTTCTTATCGAACGAGCTCTGAATTACGTCGAATGTTCAAAAAATTACGTTAAAAAAAATTATTTAGAATTGTTAAATGTAACGAAGCAGCTCGTGAACTCAGCTACTTGAGAAATTGAAGGTATTATGTAATTTTCTTAACATTTAACATAATTTGGCTCGTTAAGTTTGAGTTCGTTATCAGCTGAGTTTTGAGTATAGGAGCTCGAATCTCAGCTCGTTTATAAATTTTGTCATCGTACTTAAATTACAGGCTTGCCATCGAGGTCGAGGAAGATGGGGAAAGTTCGGTGCTCCATGGAGAGAAAGCCAAATGAGAGCTGCGAGCCGAATATGGGGATGGCGGCTTCATTGGCGGCGGCTTGTGTGGCAGCTATGTCAAGCCCAGCCGCCATGGCCTTGGTGGACGAAAGAATGAGCACAGAAGGTACTGGGCTGCCGTTTGGGCTGAGTAATAATCTATTGGGCTGGATCCTCTTCGGTGTATTCGGTTTGATTTGGGCTTTCTACTTTATCTATGTCTCCAGCCTTGAGGAGGATGAGGAATCAGGGTTGTCCCTCTGAAACTTTTGGGGATTTTAATTTTTGTTATTATTAAATCTTGTATAATAGATTGTGTTCATTATGTACAAGCAAAACACTACATTTTACTGTAATTGCGTGGTTTTCTTTTGACTTGTTTGTTTTAGAGCCTTGAAAAACAATATGATTAATGATTTATACGGTGGAGATAATTTAAATGAAACGAGTTGTTCGTGAGCTCGACTCAGCTTGTTAGATAAACTAACCATATTCGGGCCTATTTAAAACTCGTTTAGCTGACAAACTGAGCTCGACTAGCTCAAAAGTGATTTTTATTTTATATTTTAACAGTTTAGTCCTCAAAAGAAGGCTCGCTAAAGACGGCCAAGATGGACCGGCCCACACAAGCCATAAAAGATAAAAAATGCAGATAATTTGTCAAACAATAATGCTCATCTACCAGGTTAGTCACATGTTAATATGTTCATTGCTTCTTGATATGCATACTTTGATAATGTATTTTTTTAAAAATATTAACGTTACATGTGTATGGTATCTCATTTGTCAAAAAACAAAACAAAATGTGGGCAGGAAGTGAACTGACACCCA